TGCGTATTCATGGCGAATACTACTCGCTACGCGTGTATTAATTGACAAATAACTTTTTATCAAACGATCGCCGTATACGGCTAGCATTGTCCGGCGATTATGTACGTCCCTGCGCGAGCTTTTCTTCTCTCTTCCTCTCGCTTGCTCTTTTCACTTCTCTCTCTCTCTCTCTCACTTGCTCTTCTCACTTCTTCCCTCTTTCTTTATCTTTATCTCCCTCTCTCTGTTTCTTTCCGTTTTTTCTGCTTTTTTCCCCTCTTATCCCCCGTCGGTCAGAGCGGCAATGAAATGCTGTTTTCCGAAAATGGCGCTGGAATGAGGACAGGTCTCCGGTAGCTGTGCGCACGCCGTCCTATCATTTAATTTGGTATCGGATACTTACTTCTGCCCTACGTTCAAACCCCTCGGCTTAAGCCTTTTCTTTGCCTCCTCCCCTTCCCCCATATACGCCGCGACGCATGAATGCTGTCCCCGTGAACCCCGCGAACCTGCTTTTTACTCTCGGCTCGGTCCAAATCCATTTTTACGGAGAATCGCCGAGGCTAGAGAAATTCTTGGTTCACTTTTCAGAATTTTGCTTAAGGAGATTCGTCGTGATCTGAGAAAAGTGGGTACCTTTATTATCTGTGCGTTCTGAGGAAACTTAAAGTAACGAGTGTGACGGTAGAATCTGACTTTTATTTAACACTAGAAAATGACCCGTTAGCGACTTTCCAAAAGTTCGTGCGTAGAAAATAAATTCGGAAAGTTGCAAATAACAGTATTCACAATTTTTCGAAAGTTGCTAATGGGTCATTTTAAAAAAAATTTTCGTTACAACGCGAATCATGGTACAATCGTAGAGTAGACATGTAACCAATGCAATTGGAGCAATCGATTGCAAGACTGTATTCTTCCTCGACGAGGCCACTTGGAAAATGTTATTTTTACATAATAATTGAGTAATTGAAACCTCTCGAAAATCGTCACATTCTGTTCTCGCGGCCCTTATAACTTTCCTAGATCACTTTTAAACGGTGGATTAATTAAAAGTCGATTATCTCTGTAATTGAAGCCATTTCGTTTGAAATTAAGGCCTCTGAATGGGTTATTACAGATTCTACTTACCGCTAGACGGCCTAGAAACACCGAGTACCACATTTAGTTGAATATAAAACGTGTAAGAGGTAATTACGTTCGCACGATAAACGTGTCATTACTCATACGCGTTAATCGATCAGATCGAACGCTTTCCGGGTCTGCATTCCGGAGTTTATTTTTCCACGTACACGTCGCCGTTACACAATGACAAAAACCGTGTGTGCTCTTCAGTAACGGATGATCGATATCCCTGCCGCATTAATTGTAATAACCTGCAATTATCCAGTTTTTGAATGAAAAATTATCTACCCTCGTTCACCATTCGATATTGCATTTTCTTCTCTTCGTCGTTTCTGTAGCATTAACGACTCTTCTCTTTTAACGTATTAGAGATATTAGCAACAGGAGTCGTTAATATCCTACTATGAAAATGTAACAAGTGTAAAAGGAAATGTTGGAATTCACTTTTTTTCCAGTTATATTCTCGTTTCGGTTCGTTTCATGCGTTAAGAATACATTTTTTGCAAAATATTAGAAATACAATGTGCAACGAAATTAACAGATTCTGAGGTTAATTATTTATTACGATGGAGTTGGAGATTTCATAAATTTGCAACTCTGCTGAATAAACTCGAGTATCTGTAATTTATTAAATAATTTAAATTTCTCAAGTATCTACGATATATTAAATAATTTAAATATCTCAAATCTCTATAGTATATTAAATAATAAAAATTTCTCAAATATCTACAGCACACTAAATAATTCAAATATCACAGACACCTGTAAAATATTAATAATTAAAAATTTTTGAAAAATAGCGTCAGTGACACGATAAAATTTTTTACCGATGTAAATTCAGCGACAACGTTTGTCACACACTGTGATAACACCTGTATTACGTTCATCTAACAAGCTCGATACCCAGTTCTCGAAAGAAAAGCAAGCTAACTCAATTTACTCCCGGGTGAATTTGCTTTTTCTAATTATCCTTTTAGCCTCGTTTCCCCTCGAATACCAACAACCACTTCTTTCAAATGATATTACTAACGAAATTGAATTTGGTTCTTCGTTAAAATTCCGTTCGACCAGGTGATTGATGCCCCCCGAACGAGGAGGAGAAAAGGATGCAAAACGGATAGAAGAAGCTGCTCATTAGCGCTTATGCACCGTGTGTACATCGTCGGTGGCAATGAGTATCATCGTGTCGTAACAGTGTAGCATAGGGGAACGTCTTCGTAAATGGAAGACAGAGAGCGGTTAGGCTGTCGAGCTCCTCTGTAGACGTCCACCAGCCGGACTAGTTACCGGTTAAGGCGCTATAAAATCTAGTGTAACCAGGCTACGCTTCACTTTTTCTTTCGTAGGAAAAGTATCACGGGTTTGCTAATGAGACGTTGCACCGTCCGTCCGTGCTTCATTATTAAACCGGTGAAAGTTTTCCATATCTTTCCCACTTCGCCTGCTGGATCGTGTGATACAACAATCGAGTGTCTCTTTATGGTGTACCGGGGAAAAAAGATCGGGATACTTGGCAATTTTTCGGTTATTTAATTGGTTTAATTGTCGTACTACGTTTTTCTGGAACGTTCAGCTTTTGTTAGTTTGCGAAGAACGGGATTAAAGTAAAATTGCGGAATTCTGAGGTTTGCAGAACTTTCGTAACTTCGTATTGCCTTCTTTGTATCGAAATTAAAGTCCAAAAACTGGAATATGCAAATTTTCCAATGGGCCGAATGTGACAAAAATTATTTAACAGTTAAATTTCAGTTTATAGTAAAGATTTAGAAGGAAATTTCAAAAGTATTGATCTCCAGAATTGTCTGCTTACATTTTACATTCATTTCTGAATTTTCATAATTTATAGAATCCACGTTTGTAATATTGACGTTAAAAGGGGAGAGTGATAAATTTTATTTGTGAAAAAATTAGATTAAAACAGAAATTTTCTGTTAAGCTAGAACTTCACAATGCTGATTCGAGTTTCTTTAGAATTCACAGTTACTGCAAGGGTGACGGTAAAAAATGTGTCGCCGTGATATCGGTTTGTATAAATTCAGCGGCGTCAATACACTCTAAGGATATAATCCCATTGGGTTTTAATCGTTGATCTTCCCTTCGACGTGGAGAGGAAGTTTCGGGTCGAAAGAGGGGCGACGTTGCGGCATAGACACAGATACACAATCCACCATCGAGATAGGCGGTTTTATTGGCATCGCAGCCCTTCTGATCTCAGGCAAATGAAGATGGAGCACCGACTTCTTGCGTGTCCTGATCAAAAAAACATGATCGCACAGCTTTATCCGGGAAACGTGGCAATTGTCCTTCAAATCTGTATCTGTCATCTCTACGAATATATTCGACAGCAATTTACAAATACTCACGAATTTATTTCAAGCTTTATACACTTCGATAAAAGAAAATTAGTGTGTTTTTTAAAGAAGAAGTGTAAAATCTTGTTTATTGTTAAATGTTTAATTGTGTGGTATTGATTATCGATGTACAAAATATTGATCGATTTATAGTGGAGAGGTAAGATTAGTTAGTGTGCAAGTATTAAGGATTCTATGATCCTTACGCACAAGTGCCAAAAAGAACATCCTTAGAGACGTGTTAGGGCTGGAGTAACTAAGGGTTCGTTCTAACCCCTCTATCCATAGATTACTACTGCTCTTTTACAGACCTTACAGACCTTAACCCATTGTAACTCCCAAATATTAAGATTCCCAGAAACACTTCCGACATAAATACAATCTCTTTTCGTAACATTCAATCCTTAACCCTTTGACGGTCTAACCTAATTACGAATTAGAGTCACTAAAATTCATATTTTACACTTCTAATCTTCCCTTGCGATTATTTACAGTTCTGATAATAATACCCTTTCCAACTTTCTTCCTAAAAGTCTCTCACGAGTTAAACTGTTCTTTATTTAACGCACTGTCCAAGTCTCACTCGGGACAAACTATCAGAGGGGTAAAGCACCCGAAAACTTAATATCACATAGAAAATTCAAGAATTCATTGGTTAAACTTTCCTTGTCATCCCTTGCCAAATCGTTCCAACACTTTCCAAAAAATCCCCAAATTTCCATGCACAGGTAACGCAGAAATTAACTCTTGCTTTACCACAGTTCCCCAAGAACCGCATCGAGAGAGCCACAGTATCTCACAATTAGCCTTTCCATCGAAAACAACGTCTCCTCTGGAAACTCGTTCTCGCCACCGGGTGGTTAAACGTGGACCGTTTCTCCGAGGGGTAGCAAGCGTGGCGCGTGAAAACCGCGGTTGGGGCGCGCGCACCGACCACCGGCAAAAATGGTGGGGATGAAGTTCGACGGGGGTGGCTGTGGGCAAAAGCGAGCATGAGGCCGACACGCGCCTCCACTCGATGACACTTATGCACACGCCCTCAGACCGCGTGCGTGTTGCGCCTGTCAAAAGTCGTCGACTCGCGTGCGCTCGTCCTCTCTTCTTCCTCCCTTTTCTGTCCCTCTTCCCTCGTCCGGGGGTTGTGCTTCCGCGACAATCGCTCGTGCCTAATCGTCCTTCTCACCACGTGTCTGTGATCCGATCGAGAATTTGCAGAAAAAAGAAAATAGACAAATCGTCTCTTTTGGTGACTTTTGGTGATTTTTTTCTGGTGGATACGAACGTTTCCCTCTTTACCGGTATCAGTCGAGATAAGAAGTTTTTTTGGTAGTTTGTGAAATTAACGGGAGATTTAGACAGAAATGGGGTGTGTTTTTAAGAGTTTGTCTCGTTGAGACTGAACGAAGGGACCGTTTGTAGAACGATGGACGCGCAAATGTACAGCAGAATGTGGCAAACGCCGACAAACCTGTACAGCACGTATAAATACCCCGCTATAATGCAGCTCCAGGCGAACAATAACGAATTTCATTCGTGGTTTCATTCTAGGAAACCGTCCATGGACGACGTTGGAAATCCTACCTCTGTCAACGCACGGTGAGTACGTCTTATCATGTTGAAATAACTTTTGCGGAAGATCTGTTTCCGACGGTGTTTCGCATTTTATTCGATAATCGAGTATTAGAAATTTTGGCTAGCTTGAAAAAATATTTTACATAATTGCTAATGGTAGCTCTTTTTAAGGTAGATATGTGTATTGTTTCGTTCGAAATAACGTCGGATAACTGATTTTTAAATTGAAGCACAATTTTAAGTACACCGGTTGAATTTTCTTGTTTTATTTGTATCTTGCAAATAATTCTGGAATATCGTTCTTACACCTATTCTCACAAAACTGGCAATCGTGTTTAAATAACCCTTTGATGATAATTGTTCGATTAAATATAGATTGACACTCGAGTTTAAATGACCCTTTTATGTCGTTGCAATTAATATAAAACAGTGAATCAAACTTACAAATATCAGTCAAATTGTTAATTTCTCTCGCGTCTACTTTCACAAACACCTTCTACCACAATCTTAACCCTAAAATACACCGCTAATTTCAAATAAAAAAATAAAGAAAGCCTTTCCGCAAAAATAAAAAATACAGTATGCGTCAAAAATTCCCAGATCCCAAGTTTAATAATTTATCGCGACAGAATGGAAGACAGTAGAAAGCTAAAAAACTAGGAACAATGTAAATCTGAGTCGAAGAAATTTTGAAACATGTTCTTCTTCCACTCGTTCGATCGAATCTCACTTCAACTAATCATCGACTCTCCAAGCGTGTCGGGCAATGATCTCGAGTTTGTCAAAAATTTGATCAAGTGAACAATCGAGTACAATTCCATCAACGACTGGAAATCGTTCAGACTATCGGAATATCGATATCGTTGTCTATCACGTCGGTGGCGCAGGTAAAACGATATCCCAGTCAGTGTTATCGCTCGCGATCATCTACCCTCTCTAGTTGGAGGCATCGAGGACGGCCTATCTACCGTCGTAACAATTGAACCCGTAATAGAATCACATTTATTCTTATTACCCGACGAGGTCAAGCGTCCAACGAAACGCCGCGGCCCGATCCGAAGTCGGATCAGCTCTTCTCCTAAGCCATTCCACGAGCTGCGTTATTTCTCCCTCGGCTCGCACGCACACCACGCTGGCCGTCGCCACTTCTTTGTTTGGCTACAAGGATCGAACCTTCTGTCGTACTTTTTCGTAACGTTAGATCGCGGTTTGTTCGCTGCTTTTTCTCGAGTTTTAGTCATTTTGTGGAATTTGGGGAAATTGGAAATTGAGATTAGAGAAGCTTATCTCAGTGACTGTTTTAAATATTCTTCACTATATAGGGCGTTCGCGATATTAATTTTCAGTGATTACTTCTTTTAAATGGTAGGTTTTCGAGAGGAATGGGAGAAGATGAGATTTTACTCGTATCGCGGTTTGTTCACTATTTTCTGGAAGTTTGAGTAATTTTGTGGAGCTTGAACAAATTGAAAATTGAGAAAAATGGTTAGATTTGGAAGGAGGAGAAAATTGTGAAGGCATTAAGAAAATATAAAATTGGTAAAAGAAGGAAGTCTTCTCATGTTCAGAATAATGCAACCGAACACAATGAGATGTTCACGTTTCATTCTGTGATTAATTTAAATTACACGATAACCCCTGCAAGTATCAGTGTAAGCCTAATCTACCCCACACGCGTTTAACTCACGAAATTAGCATACCCTCGTACGCGTACCCTCTCAAGCCTGAACACGGGTAACCAGAATCTGTTCCTCAAAAATCTATTCCTCGGATCGGATGAATATCTCATTCGACATCTATAATGTAAGATAAAAAGTCCATAAAGAGATCGAAAGTAGCCACTTAAATTCGTAACGATCGATTCTACCCGTGCAGAAAATATTTTCCACCTTGATATCTTGTTAAAAGAAGAAAAAGGTTCGAAAGGAACGAAGGGAAATTTTTAAAAAGGGAGAGAAATTTTTCAAAAAGAACGGAGGGAAATTGAAAAAAAAAAGAAGAAAAATTTAAAGGAAATAAAGAGAAGTTTTCGGAAAATAACGAAAGAAAATTTGTCAAAAAGGCGAGAGGGAAATTTTTGAAAAAGAGCGAAGAAAAATTTCTCAAGAAGAAGGAAAAAATTATTTATGCTGGGAGAAAATATGTTTTACAAGGAATCGTGGATCTTTAGCGAGGAATTATGCGTTCCCTCGGTTTTGTTTAATTAATACAACCATGACTCATGCACCTATGCGCCACGGTGCGCAACAAAGCATCTGCCATGGTGTATCTCGTTCTCCATCTCGCCACGTTCTTTAGAACTGAACCTACAAGACTATCAAAAACCTTTGCTCGCGTTATGAAGATGCCGCCTTGTAGATAGATATATGTATATATAAAATTTCCGCGGAAGGTCCTAGCCCATTCTGATGTTGACAATAATTCATCAGACTGTATTGTTGTACGGCCGGTGAGGCCGCAGGTACGACGCGTTTCTCTTATCTTCACAGAGATTCCGTCAAAATTTCCGACCTCTGTTTTTCGCTTGTAGATCATTGTCTCGAATTTCTAGCCTTACCAGAATCACGGTTAATCCTCTTAATACTCATTATTCAATTCTCAAATAGGTATCGATTTTGTATAAATATTAATCGTCACTGCTATCTCCTTCCTTAATCATATCGTATCTTTCTCGTTTCTACGATCGAAGAAAATTAAATTAGTAATTTAGGAATTTTTTTTCAGAGCAATGCCTGAAGTTTCAATTACACTTTTACATGCCTAGGTCAATATTTCTCCATAAATTATTTTTATCTCAAAAATATCAGTTCGCTGTCTATAGTCCTCAAAATATTAAATTGTCTCGTTTATCACGAAATACTTTGGTCAAAAAAAAAAAAGAAGCAACTACAACTCCAACTTCGGTAATATTTGTTAAAAGAAGAAAAAATTCAAAGGTACGTCTATGAAATAATAATTACTCGAAGCACAAGTCCTTCATCGTTCCCTCGGCGGAGATGTTTATTTGCTCCCGTTTCTCGGTTCAGCCGGGCAAAGATTAAAATATCCCGGTGAAATGATTGGACGTTCGCACGTACTAATGGCGGAGCAGGCACGGTTTAACAGTTAAACTGCGGAGGCTCGTGTAACGCGGCGGAACGACGAGTAACCGTGAAGGTGCGATGATAAAGGAAAGGTACCTACGTGGGCGTAAACGGGTGGCGACCTCGGAGGCGTAACCAATGCTCCAGGCGACAACCTTATCGAATGGCAAGTATGCCTCTGCTTGGGCTGCCAACCTAACAAGCAGCCGGCTTGTCCCTTTGTATACGCGCGGAAACGCCGTAAAAATGATATTAACATCAGAACCTTGTGTCATTTAGATTCTCGATGAATTACTTTGCGGTTGGCTCCTGTAGTTGTTCCATTGGAATATTAATCTTTCGTGGAAGAGGAACGGGGTGAGAGATCGTACATTTTCATGTATACAGGGTGTCTAAACAGTGGTAGAAATTACAACGAAGTGATTGCTTGTTAAGAAATTGTGTAACACAGTTTTTCACAAAAATCTACTCATCCAGGGCAAACTATTGCATTAAACAGCATTAGTGTGTTATAAAACTGTGTATTGGTCTGGAAAAATTAGAGGAAGAAAACTACCTGTAGAGTGAGATATTTTGTCAAATGTGAGATTATATTCGAAAATTTGGAACTCCTCCTCCTGAAAAAATTTAGACCTCTTTCTGCGCTAAATTGCACAAAGATCCTCGACCAAACAATTTGTCAAAGGTGAGATTAAATTCGAAACAGGGTGTCTAGGTTGAAATATAATACCAGTCAGATATTTAAACCTGTTCCTGCACTAAATCGCACAAAAATCCACTTATCTCGACCAACAAATTACACTAAACACCGGTATTAGAGAATAAAAAGAAGTAGGGTGCAAGAACTCGACTCCAGATCTGCCTCTTTCTTTAGCCAATCTATTCGCAACTTTTTTCCTCCGTCCAACCTTACCTACATCTAACTCCGTCTCAACAAATTACGCATCTGCCTGGTTTTTCCATGGAACTGTTCAATTGTCATTGGGCGATTTCGCCGGTGAGCATCAAGAAAGATCTTCTCCGCAGCGGCGGCGGAGGAACGACTCACCTGACTCTCCCGGCCACCGTTACGGGAGACTCCTTCGGTGCCACTATTAATATTAATGCATTCCGCCGTTCTTGCGGCATTGTACTCGCGTTGACGGTGCTGCTCGTCCAACGTCCGACGTTCGTTCCTTCCACGACAATATCCACGCGTGTGCGCGAGTTTCACCGTGGTATCATCGTGGTGTAGCTTCGTTCCTCCTGACGCAGAGAGATACCCAAGCGTGTGTCCTCTTGATTGTGTTCCACCGGACCCATGGGTTTTGTCCCGCTCACCGGCTGAATATTCAACCGGCCGATAAATAACACTGAAAGGAAGAGAAACGAACGAAACAATGACGACGGTGGATTTTTCCCTGGTTCAACTCTCTTCAGAAAGACCTCGTCGGGAACTTTTCTTATGCGAACGGACAAGTAACACCTCTTCTCTTCGTGGTGGATCCCCGTTCGTTGGTTGGTTTCGCCTCTATGAGAGAGAAGACACCGATACTTCTTCTTCTTCTTCTTCTTCTTCGTCGTCGTCGTCGTTTTCTTCTTCTTCTTCTTCTTTTCCTCTATTGTCGCGCGCGATTTCCTCCCGGTCTTATGAGACGTCGACAATGCGCGTTTCTACACGCTCTCGCCTACCGTAACCAATGGCCCGCGTTACGCTCCGGCCTGGTGATCTATACCGTGCATTCTTCTCTCTTCACCGTGTCCCATGTGTTAGCGGCATGGACCGCGACTCTACTCTCCTTTTTCTTCCTTCGCTTTGTTTTCTGCATTTTTTACCTTCGTTTCTTTCTTCTTTTTTTAGAGCTGAAAGTGATGGTAGGGTCTTTAGAGGTTTCTCGTCTCGCGGACGAGGATGATGGAGAGGCGTAAGGTGAGCTGGTGTTTAAGTCGGTTTTCAGAGAT